CTGTGTTTTCATGGGTGTAGTTAACTTCCTTGGGTTGAAGTTTTCTTTCTAGTATCTTCTGCAGGGCTGGATTTGTAGATAGATATTTTTTAAATTTGACTTTGTCATGGAATATCTTGTTTTCTCTGTCTATGGTGATTGAAAGTTTTGCTGATTACAGTAATCTGGACTGGCATCTGTGGTCTATTAGAGTCAGCTGTAAGATGAATTTTTTTTAAAGTTTTATTTATTATGTATATAGCATATATGACTGCAGGCCAGAAGAGGGCGCCAGTTCTCATTACAGATGGTTGTGATCCACCATGTGGTTGCTGGGAATTGAACTCAGGACCTCTGGAAGAGCAGTCAGTGCTCTTAACCTCTGAGCCATCTCTCCAGCCCCAAGATGAATCTTAAATGGTCTTATTAATTAAAAAAAAAAAAACAGAGCCAGGTATTGGGGTAAATGCTGAAAGATCAGAGAAGCGGAACAAGCCACAGCCAACCTCACCTTGACAACTCCTCAGCCAATCCTGTTTCCACGAATCCTCAGTCTGAAAGCTTCTGAGTCCTTACCCCTGAGGGTCTCAGTTGAACTGCTGTTCAAAGCCTCTAGTTCCTGGTCCTCACGGCTTATACACCTTTCGCTTCTTGCCATCACTTCCTGGAATTAAAGGTGTGTGTCTTTCCCAAGCAAGACATGAGATCTCAAATCCTGGGATTAAAGGTGTGTGCCACCACTACCTGGCTCTGTTTCTAGTGTGACCTTGAGCTCACAGAGATCCAGATGGACCTCTGCCTCCCGAGAGATAGGATTAAAGGCATGTGCCATCTACTGTCTGGCCTCTATGTCTAATCTAGTGGCTGTTCTGTTCTCTGACCCCAGATAAGTTTTATTAGGGTACACAATATATTGGAGGGCACAATATATTGAGGGACACACTATATCACCACAGTCAGCAGCACATCTGTCCAGGCCCTTCTGGCTTTTAGAGTCTCCACTGATAAGTTGGGTGTAATTCTAATAGCTCTACCTTTATATGTTACTTGGCCCTTTCTTTTGCAGCTTTTAATAATGAAAACTGAGCCCATAGATTTGAAAAAGAGCAAGATGTGTATATGAGGTTTGGAGGGAGGAAAGGGAATGGGAAATGATGTAATTATATTATCTCAAAAATGAAACAATTTAGAAATAATAAAAATAACAAATCCTATGGGGCTAGAGGGGGGTGGTTCAGCAGTTAAAAGCATTTGCTCTTTCAGAGGACTCAAGTTTATTTTCCAGCATCTATTCCAGGCAGCTCACAACTCTCTAGAACTCCTGCTCCAAGGAATCTGATCCTCCAGCATCTGCAGGCACCTGTACTCATGTGCACATACCTCATACAACACACACACATATGCATAATTCAAAATAATTTACAAATATTTTAATGACAAATCCAAGGTCTCCCCCTGCTAAACCCTCATTAAATCCTTGTTTAAGCTGTTTCTTAGCTGAATTCTTCCCTTTAAGATAATAAACACGGAGTAAAATTCTGGCTCAATAACAATATTAGTAATTATGTGACTACTTTTTTTTTTCTGTTGGCAGTCATTTTGAGTTTTTTCCCTAGTGTAGCTAAATGTGTCTCAGTTATTCTTTGAGAGCTTCCTTATATTTGAGACAAGATGCTTTGGCTCATTCATCTTGTGCTTTCTCTGCCCTAACCCTGGAACCTGTCAATTCTCTAGTAAACCCCCTTCTCTTAGAATGTTACAAAATCTGACCTATAGCTCAGAACCCCTAGTTTGTATCTTCAGCTGTGAAGTCTCCCCATTAATGTACTGATTCCCAGATAGTATAATTATCTTTTACTCTAGCTCAGATATAATAACTCACAATCTCTGTGACTCTGCCCTTTTATAGCTACAATGGCCCCCACACAGTGTTCAGCAATCCTCTATCAGCGTTTCTCAACTTTTCTATGCTGCAACCCTTTAATACAGTTCCTCATGTTGTGGGGACACCCAACCATAAAATTATTTTTGTTGTTACCTAACTATAATTTTGCTATTGCCATGAATTGTAGTGTAAATATCTGATATACAGGATATCTGATATGTGACCCCTGTGAAAGGTTCATTCACTCCCCCCAAAGGTGTCTCAACCCAAAGCCTGAGAACCACTGCTCTAGATAGTGGTGATGGAACTCAGCCCATTGTGACACTGTAACCCATCTGGAACTCTTCTTTCAGTCACACAAATATTTAAAGCAAGTCTTCTTACCTTTTCCATACTTGGACCCCTTTTCCATTAATATATTTACTCTTCAGAATCTACCAGGCCACCAAGACACTGTCATTCTTGTTGAGTTTGCCTTTCTCTCACAGGTCTCTGAATCCTCCAAATCTTTCTCAGGCAGGACACTGCTATGCTCAGCAAGGAACCATTCTTTATACCAGTCCAACTGTTTTCCCAATGTTCGTGCTGTCCCCTGAGGTTCACAGACATAAGGGCTTTGAGAAGCACAAGCACAAGGGACAGAGTTGGGAGAGACTGGCAGGAACGTCTGCAGAGTTGTTATTTTTCCTAATGATCTCATATTCATATCCAGTGGTGACTTCAGGTAGCAGCTGTCTTCCTTGCAAATGTCCAAAATCTTTGATAGTTTTCTGTGTGTCTTATGTTATATTAGTGTATGTGCACATGTGTGGAGGTTCTGCACACATGCAGGGGTCAGAAGAAGATGCCAGGTGTCCTGCTCTATCATCTCTTCCTTATTCCCTTCAGACAGGGTCTCTTACTGAACCTGGAGCTAACCTGGCAGTCAGCAAGCCCCAGCCAACCCCGTCTCAGCCTTATACAGTTCTGGGGTTCAAGACAAATGTAGCCATACTCAGCTTTTCCCATGGGTGGTGAGGATTCAAACTCAGGTGTACATGCTTATGTAGCAAGTGTTCTTACCCACTGAGCCATCTCCCCAGCCTCTCTTGTTTTCTTTTCTAAGGTATCTCAGATTTGGTCCAGTGAGATGACTTGGCAGATAAAGGTACTTATCATATAAGCCTAACACACACAAAATAAATAATTTTGGGCTGACATGACAGCTCAATAGGTAGACACTTGCGTTCAATCCCCAAGACGCACATGACGGAAGAGAACCAACTCTACAAGTTGCCTTCTGACCTCCACACACATGCCATGTTGTGCCTATGTGCACACATAAAGGTCATTTTTTTAAAATGTCTCTTTTACCTTGAGTAGATCACATCTCATCCCTAAAATAAGTCATTTCTAAAAGAGGCTCTGATTTCCTTCAGTAGGAATATTTCCAAGGAAATCTTTTTGTTTTGTTTTCACTTAATTTTTTAACTATGCTACAATAAATCTTTGAATATTTTAAATATTTGAATTTATATATAGTCTATACTGGGCCAGCAAGATGGCTCGGTGGATAAAGGTACATCCTATTAAGGCTGACAACCTGAGTTTGATCTCCAGGGCCCACAAGATGGAAGGAAAAATCTGACTCCCTCAAGTTTGTCTCTGACCTGTAAATATATACATACACACAGAGTATATATATATATATATATATATATATATATATATATATATATGTGTGTGTGTGTGTGTGTGTGTGTGTGTGTGTGTGTGTGTGTGTGTGTGTGTGTGTATGCACACACACACACACACACACACACACACACACATACAGGTGCCAGCTGCTATTGTGTTATTCTTGCTTTGAGGCCATTTCAAGATAAGAAAAACAATGCCTACTTTTTCAAAAAGAAAAATAAATCAGGTTCATGCTAATATTTCAAACTCAAAAAAGTTTTTTGTGTTTATTGTCACTTTCTTTAGTTTCTTATTCCTTACAGGTTCCCAAACTTTTTTCTTCAAATATTTTTTGCAGTACTTGAGACAGAAACCAAGTGTATGCAAGTGCTCTATCACTAAGCCCCATCCTCAGACTCTTTTAACTTCTTTTTATTTTTATTTTATGTGCACTGTTGTTTTGCCTGCCAAGTATGTATATATAAAGGTATTAGATCCCTGGAGCTGGAGTCAGACAGTTGTGAGCTGCCATGTGGATGCTGGGAATTGAACCCAGGTCCTCTTGAAGAGCAGTCAGTGCTCTTAACCACTGAGCCATCTCTCCAGTCCCTCTTAACATTTTTTTTAAAATTTTATGTTATATTTATTAATGTTACATTTATTAATGAGAGAGCATATGTGGAAATCAGAGTCCTCCTTCAACCATGTGTCCTGAGGATTAAACTCGGATAGTCAAGCTTGGCAGCAAGCACCTTTACTCACTGAGCCATCTGACTGGGCCTCTTTTCTTTAGACAAAAGTCTGCACTATAGAAACTTCAGTTTATGAGCATCTCACCTCATTGTGAACTTAGTTTTATTGGATTTGCTGCTGCTGTTTAATATTGGCTTTGTCCATGCAGTGACTATTTTGCAGTACTTGCTAGAGATACACAGCCCTTCACGCTGCCTGCCAGCAACCCCTGAATTTGGGGTAAGGCCTTACTTCTAGGTCTGATAGACATGTGTCTACCATGGTTCTGCCAGACTGACAAATCAAATTCCATCCCCAGTCCTGATCCTGGGACACTTGGCACCAGTGGAATCTCTAAAAAGCTGCTATGCCTAGGGGTCCCTGCTTCCCCACTGGCCAGTATCTACCATAAATGGCCACCTAATTCTGTTCCTCTGATGATGCAGTAGTGTCTACCTGTTGCCCAGCCTTCCAGGACCATGTTGGTTGAGAGGCAGCTGCTAGTCTTCAGTTAGTTCCAACCCTGGGACTCTGAAGAAAGGACATGGTATGATCATTCTATTTCATGAGACAAAGTCAATCATACATGCCCCACCTCCAGCTCTGCCTTTCTAATTAGTGGAACAGCACCAAGAGCCCATCAATAGGTCACATGTCAAACAACTTCAAATGCAAATATTCAACTCTTTCTGTATCTTCATCTGCATTGTCACAAAAGGTTCTGGGAAACTGCACAGAGCTTAGATAACATTTTAAATGCCAGTTTTATTGTGGCCTAATCCATATACAACACGTCAATCTGAAGTGAACAATTTAATGGTTTGCAGCATATTCACAGATGTGTAAGCATCACTGTGACTATTTTCAGAACATCCCTATTTCCACCAAAGAACCTTATGCCCACAAACTATCACTCTCTCCTCACCCCACTCATCCCCAGGGATTCATTCACCAACTGACTTTTTGTTTGTGTTATAAGAGAGAATCTTGCTATGCAGCCTAGGCTAGCCTAGAACTCATTAGCATCCTGCTTCAACTTCTAATACATGCTCTACCACAGATAGGTCCAACAGACTTTTTCCAGCACTCAAAACCTATTGGAAAATCTAGACGTGGGTCTAAACTAAAATTGATTTGCAGTTTTGCAGATGAGGAAGCCAAGGCTCAGGGATTTCATTAATGTCCAGACTGGGACTTGTCCATATAACCTCAGACTCGGTTTCCTGAACTATATATTATGAAGGTCACATGATCCATCCTTCCAAATCCTGTTTTTCTTATCTGAAACCAAGTCTTGCTTTATAGCAAAAGCTGGCCCCAAACTCATGGTACTCTCCCTGCCTCTTCCTCTCAAGTGCCAGAATTGTGTGTACCACTTATGCCCAGATACCCATTCAAATTCTGAACAAAATGAAAAATGCTAGTCAGGTGCTGTGGGATAATGCTTTTGTACACTGGTTTAATAAAACGCTGATTGGCCAGTAGTCAGTCAGGAAGTATAGGTGGGGTAAGCAGATGAGGAGAATTCTGGGAAGAGGAAAAACAGAGTCAGGAGTCACCAGCCAGACACAGAGGAAGCAAGATGACAAGACAGAACTGAGAAAAGGTACCAAGACACATGGTTAAACATAGATAAGAATATTGGGTTAATTTAAGTGTAAGAGCTAGTCAGTAATAAGCCTGAGCTAATAGTCAAGCAGTTATAATTAATATAAGCTTCTGAGTGATTATTCTATAAGCGGCTGCAGGTCCGCATGGGGCCAGGCGGGACCCGAGAAATCCTCTGGCTACAGGCAGGCATAGTGGAACATATTTGTAATCCTAGCACTGAAGTGGCTGAGGCAATAGGATGGCTGCAAGTTCAAGGCCATCCTGGATTACATAGTAAGTTCCAAGCTAGGCAGGGCTACAGAATAGGTCTGTCAGAGAGAGAGGTAGGGAGGTACAGAGAAAAGCTGATAAACTGGGATTGTAGCTAAGTGGTGGTATGCATGCTTAGCATGCACAAGACCCTGGGTTCCATCCTTAGCACCAAAAAAAAAGCTATAGTTACTATAGTTCTAAATAAGATTTCTGTACTATTATTCCTAGTACATTAATATAATAACTTCTATAAGTTGCCAATTATGGTGACAGGTGATGTCTGTGAAAATACTGGCAGGAGAATCCTGATATAATGTCAGACAAGCTCAGCCATCAGTAAACACAGAGTATCCCTGAGCTGAGCTCCTATATAGTGTTACTAAATTGGATTGACAAGGCTTCTGTCTCCCTCTAGTGGGAAGGAAGAAACAACAGAATAGAAAAGGTCAGTGGTTTTGATGTGAGTTAAAACAAGGTAATGTAATTTAGGATGAAGACTTCAGATGAAAGAACTTTTGTTTACATTTAGATCTGAATGACAAAAAGAAATCAACTGTGCAGATTAGGGGACAGAGCCTTCTCAGCAAAGGAGACAACAGAGGCAAAGGCCTTAAGACACAGAATTGCTAGTGGGTTTGAGGAAAGGAAAAAGGGCCAGCATGGAATGGCTGGGCTTTTAGAGAAGATGACATGAAGTTAGAGCAACACAAGGCTGAGAAAGGAGTTTAGACCCTGAAGCAACAGAAAATCAGTGGAGGACATTAAGCAAAGTGAAAACAGATTTACCAGATCACTCTGGTTACTGGTAAACAATGGATAATGAAAAGCCTACAGTTTCAATGTGAAACCACCCCTAACAGTCAAGGCAAGATGAGAGGACCTAGGACATCTCATACTAAGCTTGGGTGGATCAGAATTGAACATTGAACTGTTTCTCTCGAAACTCTGATGTCCCTTTCCCTAGTCCTCCCAGTGGTAGGCAGATGGCCCAAGTACCCAGGTATGAAGCCAAAAGTCCAGTAGTCACTAGATGCCTCTTCCTCTCTCCTCCATATCTATGGCCACAGCTCCATACCCTAAACCCTCATGCTGTTCTATCTCTGCAGATCAGCTCTTTCCATCACTGTCACAAGATACTGAACAAAATATCCACCTTTGTTTGACATTGGTGTGCTTATAAAAAGGAAACACACAAGAAGTGGCAGAGGCAGAGATGCGGGTCCAACTAGAAAGCACTAAGAATTGCTGGGATCTGCTACACAGTGTGAGAGGGGCCTGGAATGGGTTATCTCTTATGAGGATCCCACTCTGCCCACACTTATCTCAGATGCCTGCCATCCAGAACAGGGGGACAGGAAATCTCTGTTGCCTAAGACCCCAATGTGTGGTACTTTGTTGCTGCAGTCACAGGAAATCCAGGCCCCATGTTAGTTGACTGACTTGGCCCCTTGCACCACTCTGTTGTGTCAACAATGAGCTTTCCTCAGTCATAGGCAGAGGAAACCTCAAAGCTGTGTGTAACAGCTACTTCCTATATAATGCATAAGAATTAAAGGCATAGAAATAGCACAAAAGAAAAACTTTGTTACTGGCAACTCTACCCCTACATCCACCAAATGAGGACAGGGTGCATGCTTGCAGGTCTTACTTCTTTATTTTACATTTTATACATAATTTAAGTCTCTGGCCTTTTTATACCATACTACAGAGAATGTTTCATGTAACAAAATGTTCAAGATGCTGGCTATGCAGGCCTGTGTCATCAGGTATATGGCCAATTTCATCACAGCTTTTGGTGGTAACAAATGACAGTGCCATGAGAGGCACTCCAATGAAGTAGTCACTGTGAGGACCAAGTTGTCAGGTAAAGAGGGCTCAGAATGTTTCCAAAGTGCTTGTTCTATTTCATCAAACACACCCCCCTACACACACCTTGAAAGGGGAAATGCCACAAGGTCTCACCATGCCTGAAGGTGTCTCACACACAGGGTTGAAATTGTTCCTATTTTGACATCATCTCTACTTACAATTTGTGGCTGCATTCCTGCTGAGCTACTCCTTATCATTTGTTACTGCAGTGAGTGAAGTACTCTGCACTGTCTTATTGACTCTCTAGATTTCTCTTGGTCATGGGCCAACAGGAAGAACGTATAAGTAACAGTAAAAGGACTTCTGGGAAGGACATGCTTCTAGATGTCTGGAACCAGAAGCTGTCTGCCAGGGGCCACAGTTCATAAAAGCCAAATAGGCTAAATCCCTTGGGGGGAAAAAACTAATAACCAGTTTTTCCAGGTCTAGTTAAGTAATTACAGAAAAGAAAGAAACATGTCCCATGTCAGGGAAGATGGTAGAATCTCAAATCCTTGATACCTAATGTTTGGTTAATCATACACCATACTTCAGGGTAAGGAAGTGTCAAGGGCTCCCACCTTCTGAGAAGGGTACTAGGTCCCAACCATTGCCTGTGGTCACCCTCAGATTTTGTCTTGACTAGTCCATGGAGCCCAAGCCAGAATGTTTTCAAGGTCCTGGGTGATCCTGCTGTGCAACCTAGGTCACACCTACTTTCTGAGCCCCTTTCAGGATAAAGTACTGGTCAGAAATGTACCTATGCATCTCTATTTATCCCAGAAGCATGAAGCCTATACAGTCACTGCAGGCAGTCCAACAGCTCTTTCCTGCTGCAGCCAACCTGCCTTTCTCAGTCACACCCACTGGCCCTGCTAATAGCATAACACCTATAACAGCCTGACCTCCAAATTCTGAAGCCTGGTGGTCACCATCACCCTAGAGACCAAGTCTCTCTAACAGAATTGCAAGGCTTAAAGGCACCTGCCTTTGGGCTGCATTTACTCAGGTTCTGATGATATCCCTACTCTGGGTTGTGTAAGTCCAAACCCCTAGAACTTGAGAACATGACTTTATTTGGGAAAAGGGTCTTGGTAGATGTAGTGAGGTAAGGGTCTTGAGCTGGAGATCCTCCTTAATTACCAGATAGACCTCACATCTACAATTTGGTGTTCTTAAGAGACAGAAATAGAGGAGACCATGAGGCCCTAGAACCAGAGATTAGAGTGATGGGTCTATAAGCCAAGCAACACCAAGGACTGTCAGAAACCAAGAGCTGAGAGAAAGTCTGGAATTGATTCTCAGAAGAAACTTAACATCCTACTTCCAGACATGAGTGATTTTTTTTTCTGCTTCAAGTCTCTGAGAATTTTTAGAACAGCTATAAGAAAGTCATATACCACCACAAAACTGAACTGAATCAAACCAAACCAATAGTACTACTGAAGAAAAATTAGATTAGGTATTTAAATGAAGGACTCATGAGCAAAGAACATGTCTGTTCCTTTAACATTTTCCTAAAGATCTGTCTGATAGATACCTGGGAATCAGGAAATAGAAAATTTTCTCCCCATCCCCTGAGAGTTGTGAAGAAGCCCCCAGCTCAGGCTTATTTTTTAAATCCTAATTCTACTCAGCCTTTCCACTCTTAATGGGCAAGAATCCCTGTGAATAAAAAAAGCCCAGGCAGGAATGGATTTACAGATTCCACTCAGAACCATGAAAGCTTGCAGGAGGGCAGAAAGGGTTTCGGGTCTGAGGAGTCAGCAAGGCACATCTATTGTTTTCTCAACTCCAACTTCCTTTCCTTTACTAGAATTGCAAGACTAATACCAATGATTGTAAGATCCCAGAAAATGTCTAGAAACTTGCAAAACAAGTAAAGAATTCCCTTGTTCACAATCTGCCAGTCACTACTAAATGGTTCCCAAGACAGGACATTTGGGCTGGTGAACATGCCATCACAAACTCCTGGAGTGTGATGAAGCATGGAAACCACCATTCACACAAAACAACAATGTGTTTCACAAAGACAAGAGCACACTGGTGCTAGAACAAAAAAAAAAAAGCATGTGTGTGAAATAGCCTTCTGTCAAACAACAAAGCAGTCATAACTCCAAAGCCAAAATATGAGAGTAAAGAATGGGTGTGAGTACATAAACAGCTTCTAGGCCCAAAAATATAAACACAATCAAAGTGAAACAAGGTGTGCATTTTCTGTGATAGACAAAAGCTAACCTGACTGCTGATTAAAGAGCTCCCCAAAGCCCAGGAACAAATGGCAATGATGCAACAACAACAAAAAAATGGATAGAAAATATGAAAATCCAAGTTATATCAGTGGATTAAAAAGAGCCCACATACCCGAGAAAAAGACACTTAAGTACCCTCTTTAGTAAAGAACAGCATGTCTAGCAGATGGCAGAAACACAAAGGTCAACCCACCTCCTCCACAGCAAGGCTGCAATGCTATGTCTAAGCACATGTCCTAAAGGCACACACAGATCAGTGCACAAGTACTTTCACTGCACCGTTACTAACGGTAACAAAAAGACTTCTCAAATGTCCATCAGAAGCAACACATGTTATGGCCCTAAGTGCCACATGCCCTGGGAGGACAGCCTGCAGCTCAGGGCAAGAAAGGCAACAGCTGGAGGGAAGAAGAGCTGCACCTAGCCCTGCTTGGAGAAGGGGTGCTCCCTGAGAGCCCCTGGCCTCCATTCTAGACTCCCTATGAGAATGGGAGAAGAGGGAGGAAGAAGCCACCAGAGGCAAGTGGCTCGGGCACAGAAGAAAAGGGAAAAAATAGCCCTAACTGTTGCTGTCTACCCTAGTGGGGAACTAGCAGACCAAAGGGCTAAAGCAAGGGTCCTTGCTAGGTCCTGGGGCCAGTTCTTTGACATTAAGTCCTTAATTGTGGACTATGTAGGTGAAACAGGAAAGCACAGGTTGTATAGTTCAGGACACGGTATTACAAGTGGCCTTACATCGGCTGTTCCTACTCTATGCACTCCATGACGTGTATCTGTAGAGTGTCCATATCAGGAGCCTGATACTGGCACTTGGGACAACGGAAGTCAGGTGGTTCCTCAGGAGGGCTTCTCCGCTGGTTGGGCAGGGCCAGATGAAAGGAGTGGTGAGCTGAGAAAAAAGAACAGAGGCTAGCTCGGTGGGCATCATGCACAGACTGGGTAGATCTCAATGTGAAGGAGAGGCTAACAAGGTACTGAAACCTACTGATACCACCATATTTGACTACATTTGTGGCTGGGAGCCACCTCTACCAGCACATTCCTCCTTTTGCCTCAGGGTGGTGTAGGCTACTAATAGGGTTGGCCAACAAGGGCTCCCCAAATCAGAGCAGCAGGGAGGCTAACGCATGCTTTCCCTCAGCACAATATTCTGCCCTCCCTGTCCATCTCCTCCCACCATCTACCACCTACCTCCTGTTCACTCACCTGGAGCAGGAAGTAAAGGGGGCTGGGAAGTCTCTACATGCCGCTTCCTCATATCCTCAATCCTTTGAAAACAAAAACCATTCAATCAATACCTGCAGAGTTTTTTTTATGAATAAACATCTTCATTGAGATATAATTCATGTATTATACAATTCACCAATTTAAACTGTATCATTCAGTGGTTTTTTTTTTTTTACTATATTCAGCATGTCCAATCATCTGTATAATTTTAGAATATTTTTACCATCTCCAAAGGAAACTTTGTACTTATTAGCAATTACTCCTGGGTTCCCCTATATCAGTTTCCTCAGAACTTTACTACAAACTACCACATACCTGGTGGCTTAAAATAACAGAAATTTGCATGATGCAGGAGGCCAAGTGCCCTAAATCAACATGTCAGAGGACTAGGCAGAAATACATGCTCTCCCATAGCTGGTGGTAGTTAACAGATTCCTTGGCATTTCTTGGCTAGTAGCTGAATCCCAGTCTCTCTGTCTTGGCCTTCTTGTAGCTGCCTTCTGTATCTCAATGTGGTGCTTCTATAAAGACCACAGTCAATTAATTAATCTGATGTGACTTTATGTTAACTAGTTACATATACAAAGATACTATTTCCAAATGAGGTCAGATTCTGAGGTATTAGGTAGACATGAATTTGGGGGAATTCTATTTGTACTGGTTAGGTGTTTTGTTTTGTTTTTTTGTCAATTCAACACAAGCTGGAATCATCTGTTAAAAGGGAACCTCAGGCTGGGCGCACACCTTTAATCCCAGCACTCAGGAGGCAGAGCCAGGCAGATCTCTGTGAGTTCGAGGCCAGCCTGGTCTACAGAGCGAGATCCAAGACAGGCACCAAAACTACACAGAGGAACCCTGTCTCGAAAAAAAAAAGGGGGGGGGGAACCTCAATTAAGTAAATGTCCCCATTAGATTAACCTGGACGCAAGCCTATGGGGCATTTTCTTCATTGGTCATTGATGTTGGAGGGCCTACTAGTTCACTAGGGATGGTGCCACCACCCCTTGGGTAAGCACCTGGGCTGTATAAGCAAGCAAGCTGAGCAAGCCATGGAGAACAAGCCAGAAAGCAGTTCCTCAATGATTTCTGCTTTAGTTCCCATCTCAAGTTCCTGCCCTGACTTCCCCCATGATTAACTACAACTGTAAGTTGAAATAAACCATTTCCTCCTCAAGCTGTTTTTGGTCATGGTGTTTATCACAGCAACAGTAACCAAACTAAAACAGACATTAGTACCAGGCTCTTGGGATATTGCTGAGACAGACCTGGCCATGTTGTTTCATGGAAGACTGTGGAAGGACTCTGGAACTTTGGGCTGAAAATGCCATCAAGTAGTTAGAGCTTAATGGGCTGTTCTGTGGAAGCCAAAGAAGGTAAGAATGCTGAGAGCAATGCAGATGATGAAGGCCTAGCTTGGGAAGTTTCAGAAGGAAGCAAAGATTCTATCACGGCCATTTATGTGTTATTTTGAATTAAGAATCTGTAGTTCTGGTCATCTGGGGCTGAAGAATCAGGTGTGATGAACAAGAGACCAGCAGCATTGAAGTAAAACCTTTGCTTTACTGGGACAATTGATGCTGGTTAGCTGAAGTCAAGAAAGCAGCTGTGATTAAGAAGAGACCAGCATCACTGAGGTGAAATCTTCTAGACTCTAGAATCTAGCGTATATCCTCAGGGTCAGTACACAGAAGCTCTGCATCTCATGCTACCAGTCAAACTGGGTAATATGAAGGGATCATGGAAAGCAGCTAAGGCTTTGCACTATTTGAGAGGTCAAGAGAAGCTATTGGTGAAGGTGCATCCATCCTCAGTTCAGTAGACCCCAGCATATTAGAGATGCCAGTACCATGGGACAATCACCAAGGACAACAGTAGCTGTGGAGTGGAGCCAGCCTGAGGTTATGAGACTAGTTATGTGTGCTGTGAGTGGCAAAGCCAGAGTGAAGTATAGCTGCCCAAGCCCTTTGGAGCCCAGAGGATCATGAGCAGGTCCCAGACATCAAGCACTGCATTTTTTACACTGTTGGATTTTGTTTTTGCTTTGATTTATTGTGATTGTGCCATGGTTCTTCACTCTTAGAGTAAGAAAATATGTAACTTATTATTTTATAGGAGCCCAGTGAGAGAATTTAGACTTTTAAAGAGGCATTTTTTTAAAGAGTGGTGGAATGTTTTAAAGACTGAGGGACTTTTAAATTTATGGGGGGGGTTGTTTGTTTTTTGTTTATTAAGACAATGTTTCTCTGTCTTAATAGCTCTGGCTGTCCTGGAACTCACTCTGTAGACCAGGCTGGCCTCGAACTCAGAGATCCATCTACCTCCCAAGTGCTGGGATTAAAGGTGTGTGTCACCACACCCAGACTAAATTTATGTTTTATATTGTGATATTAACATGAATTGGAGGACAAACAAGAAGGAAAGGTTATGGTTTAATAGTGGTGTGTTTGTATGTCAAGTTGACAAGGGATTAATTGTGCTGGTTGGCTTTTGTCAACTTAATGCAAACTGGAAAGAATCTCAATTGAGGAATTGTCTCCAACAGATTGGCTTGAGTGGGGTTTTTCCTTGATTAATAATTGATGTGGGATGCCCAGCCTACAATGGGTGGTACAATCCCTGGACTAGTGGGCCTGGGCTGTATAAGAAAGCAAGTTGAGCAAGTCAGTAAGCATCATTCCCCTGTAGCCTATGCTTTAGTTTCTGCCTCCAGATTCCAGCCTTGACTTCTTTCCATGATGGACTATAAACTGTAAGCTTAAATAAACCCTTTCCTCCCCAACTTGTTTTTGGTCATGGTCTTTATTACAGCAATAGAAACCAAACTAAGACACTATAAAGCCTAATATATTTCCACGAAAATTCCAGCCTTAGATACCTCTCAATATATGCATTTCTGTGAAGTTTCTAGTTAGACCAGTGGGAAAGGTCACTGTTGGAGGGACAGGACACAGGGAGAGCAGCAGGAGGTACAGGGAACTTAACACAAACACCAAGAACCATCAATCTCCTGTAGTTACTACTGGTTGCTGCTAGTATATGCCTGCTCTGTGTGTGGCTGTGCTCCTGGCTGTGCTACACTCTTAGAGGCCCACCTGGTTGACTCATGGCAGCCAACCTTCAGCTTGCTGAACTCGCGCTGCAGCTGCTCCAGCTGCTCCTGCAAAAGCTCCTTCTTCTCCACCAGCTTTTCCCGGGCATGCCTCTCAGCTTGGAAGTCAGCCTTGTAGATATCCGCCTGGCAAATAGAACAAAGGTGTGCCAAGCACCCATCAGCTGCTCATCAGGCATTCTATGCCATTCCCCTGAGGAACAGAGTCCTGTCTTGTTGCCCAGGACCACATGATAGTACACACCAGGAACAGATACAAAAGCCTGTGATCCCAAGGGCACCAAGAGGTCAAGGACCAATGCAAAGGACTCAAGAAGACTAAAAGAGGCCAACAAAAAAATGATGCCAAAGAGGTGCACCAGACCCCATTGCCTGGGAGGGTGGGCCACTCATGTGGTAGGGCAGGCTGGAACAGAGCTCTCACCTGGGCTTTCAGAACTGGCACAGTCTCCATCACAATCTTGTGCTGTTCAGCCTCTTCTTTCAGTTTATCAATCAATTCCTGTTTGGCTACCAGGGCCTCCTCAGCTTGCTGAAGCTGTTGCCTCAGATCTTCCAGCTGCATGCCCTAGAGAAGGACAACGGGTGCTGGCAGAGTCTCTTGGCCTACAGTAGGGCCAAACCACCTCCCTGGCTGGCCACTGTTCTAAGAACTAAGAAGGAATAGCTGGAGCAAAGCCAGTCCTTTGGACTTCAGGGCAAATGACAAAGTCTCAATGTGTACAAAGAAAAGGCTACATCCTGCTGTGGCCCTATAGTACAGAAGAAATGCTGAGGTCTTTCTTAGGATATACAAAGATCTTAGGACTGATAGGAACTCTGAGGATATAGAAGGCACTGCCTCCTACTCTGTGTCATCCCCTTCAAAGAAGTTCCAGCTAGGCAGCCTTACTCTTAACTCTTCAAGAACAGGAGCCACCTTCCCTTCTGAGGCTTCCCGCTCACAGTGAGTAAGTACTACACACTAACCCTCTACATACTACAGACTCACCATACACCAGGCAAGGCTGCAACCCATGGGTCCTTCCACTCTGCCACTTGGTCAAAGGTCTGCTTATCACACACACACTATACACATGCACCCATGCTCTCAACCAAGAATTCCCTCCAGAGATTAAGCAGCCTTTTTTTTTTTTTTTTTTTTTTTTGGTTTTTTTGAGACAGGGATTCTCTGTGTAGTTTTGGTGCCTGTCCTGGATCTCACTCTGTAGACCAGACTGGCCTTAAACTCACAGAGATCCACCTGGCTCTGCCTCCAGAGTGCTGGGATTAAAGGTGTGCGCCACCACCGCCTGGCTAAGCAGCCACTTTTAAAAGATTTTCTTGGTCATGGTGGATGACCTTTTTGATGTGTTCTTGGATTCAGTTTGCCAGTATTTTATTGAGTATTTTTTCATCAATGTTCGTGAGTGAAATTGGTCTGTAATTTTCTTTGTTGGGTTTTTGTGTGGTTTGGATATCAGGGTGACTCACAGAAAGAATTCAGTAATGTTCCTTCTGTTTCTATTTTGTGTAATAACCCAGACTGAGAAAGACAACATAAACATATTATGTACTCACTCATAAGTGGACATTAGCTGCTAAAAAAGAATAACTATGTTACAACTCACAGACCCAGAGAGACTAAGTAACAAGGAGGGCTCATAGGGGGACACCCAGATCTCCCTAGGAAGGGAAACTAGAAGAGATTTTGAGAGTGGACTGAGGGCAGGTGGGGATGAAAACATGAGTGATCAGGTTGGGGGTGCAGCATGGAGGGGGAGAGTGCTGAGCGGGACTGCTGGGGGGGGCATTTTGGTGCCAGGTGGAAGCCTGGAGGAGGGAACTTTCCCAGGAGTCTATGGGGAGGACCCCAGCTTAAACTCCTAGCAATAGTGGTAAGTAGCCTGAACTAGCCTCTCCTGTGACCAGATTGGTGCCTGGCCCAATTGTCATCAGATAGGTGCCATCCAGCAACTGATGGAGGCAGATGCAGACCCACAGCCAAACATTAGGTGGAACTCGGGAATCCTACGGAAGAGGAGAAGAAATGGGGGTAGGAGCCAGAGGAGTCAAGGACACCATGGGAAGGCTCACCCAGTCAACTAAACTGGGCTCATAGAGACTGAACTGACAACCAGGGAGCCTGCATGAGACTGACCGAGGCACTCTGCACATATGTTACGATTGTGTAGCTTGGTCCTCTTGTGGGACTCCTGACAGCAGGAACAGGGGCTGTCTCTGACTTTTTTACTGACTTTTGGGACTCTACCTCTCATACTGCATTGCGTTGTCCAGCCTTAACACATGGGGAGGTGCTTAGTCTTACTGCAACTTGATATGCCATGTTTTATTGATACTCATGGGAGACCTGCCCTTTTCTGGATGGAGATGGAGGAGGAGGGGATTGGGGGGTGGGAGGGAGGGATTGGGGAAGGGACTGTGAGAAGATGGGGAGGAGGCTGTGGCCAGGATATAAAATAAATAGATGAATAGAAAAATAAAAATAATTAAACAAAAGATTTTCTTAATATGCATGCGTGTGTGTGTGTGTGTGTGTGTGTGTGTGTGTGTGTGTGTGTGTATGTGTGTGCGTGCGCCATATGCATATGGGTACCCACAGAAGTCAGAGATGGTATCAGATCTCCCCAAAACTGGAGTTGCAGGTGGCTGTTAGCTTCCTAATGTGGGTGCTGGGAACTGAACTTGGGTCCTCTGAAAAAACAAGTACTCTTAACCATTGAGCCATCTTTCCAATCCCTTAAAGCAGCCATTTTTATAATTCTTCATCATGTGACTAGTTTAATGCTTAATCCTTATAAATCTCTGGGTACATTGTGGTTGACAATGTCCTTCTTAAAATATGACCACTAACTTTGAGTAACTAAGCACAATTTTGTATTATCTTTTAAGTTCTTTTCTCAATTTTCTATTATTAATTATTTAAATTTTAGACAAAAATAAATTTTAGACAAATAAGAAAACATAGGTTCTTATTTTAAAATTAATATCTGAGTTAATTCATTTCATGAGGAATTTTTTATGCATAGAGGTCTTCATGTTTTTATTGTTTGAGCCCTCCCTTAATGTCTTTGCTAGGATAATAATGTTCAAATATTTTTAATCTACTTGTGCAACACTATAGTGTCTTTCAAAAGTTGTTCATACACTTTCTGAATTAAGGCCATATTTAAGTGCTAGAGGAGCTCACCTTTTACACAGAAGGTAAAAAAATTCATAGTCATAATTGCAGATGAAAAAAAATGTTTTCATGGGGATGTAGTAATCATTATGGCATAGGAAACATCCAGTTCATAGCCTAAAATTTTAAATACATACTTAGGGAGTGATCAGATTTTAATGACTAGTTTATCCACAATAACTTCCTATTCTGTTATAATAAAATAAATATATAAAAATATAAAATTTTGTTTAGTTAAACTCTGCAACTATAAGAATTATTTTTTACACAGCTGTATACACACACACACACACACACACACACACACACACACACACACACACACACGGAGTTTGATTTTGCTCAACTGCCTTTCCTTCTAGTTCTCCTAATTTTATTAATAGAAAAACAGACATACTGCCATTTTTGTGAATCCTTCAGACACTTATCTTGTGTACAGATCTTTATGGTAAACAATTTTAAGAAATTTAGTGAAAAGCCAGAAATGCCTTCAGAAATCAGTTTCTCTAGTCTGTTAATATCATTTGGCTTCCCACTGCTCTCTGGAGTTATTTATTCAATTGGGGGGCTGTTCAGGGTGTTGTTTTGTTTCAAGACAGGGTTTGTCTGTGTAGCCCTGGCTGTCCTGGAACTTGCTCTGTAGACCAGCTGCCCTCAAATGCACAGAGATCTGCCTGCTTCAGCCTCCTGAGTGCTGAGATTAAAGATGTGCACCACCACGCCCAGTATCAATATGTGGGCTTTTGATAACCTTGTTAAAATTTCTTATATGAGTACTAGGTTGTAAAGAATTATCAACATTATCCATTCTATTTATGAGAAAGAGAACAGATAACACACTTTATTATGGGAAAAATATGACCACTAGAATGCTGGTCATGGTAGCACACACCTGTTATCTCAGCACGTGGAAGATGGAGGCAAGAGGATCAGGAGTTCAAGCCCAGTCTCAGCCACTTAAGAGTTCAAGACCAGCCTGGGTTATACAAGACCCTATCATTAAAAAACTAAAAAAGAACAGGCTAGGGAGATAGTTCAGTCAGTAAAGTACTTGTGAGGACCTGAATTCAAGCCCCAGAACCAATGTAAGAAAAACAGCTGAACATGTATACCTCCTAAGGAATAACACCAATGATGTCCTCTGACTTCTACATACATTTATTTGTGCATATGCATATACACAAAGTAATCACTAAAAACTGTACCCAATTTAGGCCTGATGAGGATAAACTCAAAAAGAGCTCCAAATCACCCAGAAATGTTTCTAGGGGAAGAAAGAAAAGGCTGAAAAGATGGCTCAGCAGTTAAGAACACTTGTTGTTTTTGGAGAGGATCCAGGTTCAGTTCCCAGAACCCACATGGTGGTTCATGTTGTAGAATATTATTATAAGCTGGGTTACTTTTGTTTATGTAGCATTTGTTTAACTCTGTGAAGCTGTGTTACTTTGCCTGTCTAAAACATCTGATGGTCTAATAAAGAGCTGAATGGCCAATAGCTAGGCAGAAGAAAGGACAGGCAGGGCTGGCAGGCAGACAGAATAACTAGAATGAGAGATCTAGAAGAAAAGAGGAGGTCACCAGAGAAGGAGGAGGATCCAGGGGCCAGTCACCCAGCCACACAACCAGCTATGGAGTAAGAAAGAAAAAGTATACAAAAATAGAGAAAGGTAAAAGCCCAGAGGCAAAAGACAGATGGGCTAATTTAAAGTTAAGAAAAGCTGGCAAGAAACAAGCCAACGTAAGGCCAGGCATTCATAAGTAAGAATATGTCTCTGTGTGCATTTATTTGGGAGCTGGGTGTCAGGCCCCCCAAAAGAGTAAGAACAACAACATTTTTGCTCCCAACATGGGGCCGTATTTCCACATAGGGCTTAAGAAAGCTGAGAAAAAAAAGAGGATACGGCTTCTTTAAGAGTTTCTGCCTGCTGGTGAGCCCTTGAAAAGCCAGTATGTTAAATAGGAACAAAAATCTAAGTAAAAACGCCTGTGACAGCACAATCATTGGCATTTTAGAGCCCTAGGAAAGTTGAATGCAGTTCCTAGTCACCTACCTCTAACATGGCCGTGAGCTTGGCTTGGCGCTCATGAACTAACAAGCAGGTGGAGCCAGCCAATGAGCTGTGCAGAGAATCCAGATGTAGGTTAGCAGTTTAAAGGTTTGCTCACATGGTCAAAAAAGGCTAAAAGATACCCAGTAAAAGAGGTCCAGACAGAAAAAAACCTCTAAACAGGTTACAGTGTGTTTAACAATGTGCATAGGCTTAAGAAAAGAAAGGGGGTATATAACGCAGACTGTGGGAGGCCAGCTCCAAGATCTGCTCCAGGGCAAATAAAAAGAATGCCTCAGAGTAGCAAGGGCTTAGGAAACTTTTTTATCTGAGGGTATTTAGAGTAAGTTTCTATTTGACTAGTAAAATAGGGAAACACACATGCTTTCTGATGGTAACTTTCTCTTTTACTTCATCTTAAAAAATGGTCTCTGACTCTTTCTGTCTCCACACTGCTACATTCTATACATACAGCTACATATCTTTCTTTACATACATACGGCCATACATCTCTAGACACAGTTACATCTACTTTCACATGGCCACACACCTTTTACACACATTTCTCTTCTACATCTCTGTTTTATGGTGGCATCATCTTCTTTGCCTCCACACAGTTACAATTCTCCATACAGCCATAAATATGCATCTCATTTACATAGCTCTCTCACCATATAGCACTTTACACAGTTCCTTCACACTTTCATACAGCTCTTTACACAATTCCTGTATGTAGCAGCAGCTCTTTCACACAGCTTTCTCTCTCACACACTCACTCACACACACATGCTTCTTCTATATCATATATACATCATTCACTCACTCTTTGCTCACTCACTCTCTCATTCATTCATCCTCTCACATTTCTCTTACCTTGCCTAATGCTTCTTCTTCTTAATCTCTTACTCAGCATACATACACTTCACTCACATTCTGCATAGCTTCTTCGTCTACATTGCCACTGCCCCTCTCACAGTCAAACTTTGGATAATTATACGTTACATTTTCAGGGGTCCGACCCATTCTCATAACACATGATAAGTCACAGTTTTTCTCAGGCTAGTAAAGTCACAAAGACTGGCCAGTGAGTAAACACTTGGCCTTGCATGTAACTTTTTCCCAGACAGAGAATGACACTGAAATTCAGGACTTAACCATAACAATAGCAGGCTGAACCTTGAGTGGTAGGAGTACGTACAGAAAGAGAATTATTGCAGGGAGTTATATCTACCAAAATTGCTTCAGTTCTGACCTTGATTCATCAACAAACAATACCTGGGAACTTGTCTTTATGTATTTTATGCAGGGGCAGCTTAGTCTGTTTTGAATTTGTTCTGAAGATTAAATTAGCTGTCTCAGTGACTGAGAATACTGTTACTTTCCTGTGTCAGTTAAGAAAAATATTCTGGTATTAATTCTATTCATCAGAATTATACAGCTTAAGAAGAAATCATCTTCCTGACCATCCACAGCTAAATGTGTGCCCAAAGATGTAAAACACACTATCAATAGGCTGTGGAAGGAAACCCACAGCTGCTCTTTTTAGGGAGGTATAGTGGTGGCACCTGAGAAAGTTACAGGCAGAAAACAACTGGTTTCTACAGCCAGTGACCCCATGGCTTTGCCAGGTGGGGCTCCCCATCAGGGAGTCATATGTCTGGTGGGTCAACTTGTCAAACACTAGTTGTCACCTGCTGTATACTGTCATGGCCCTCAGCAGGTATAGTCATAGAAAAAATGAATAATTTAAAAATAGTCCTTAAATAAAAAAGTAAAATAATATAAAAAAGAATAAGTCACATAAGATGGGAAATACATAGGGAATCTGGATCCTATATGCTATTGTGTTCATTTTGAATTTTTTGAATGTTGATAAGCAAACAATAGCTGCTAAGAAGCATGGGATTGTGAACAGGACTCCAAAACTGAACCAACCTAGATACTTTAGGGCTATCTTAACTTTAAAAAAGTCAAAAAATGCCGGGCGGTGGTGGCGCACGCCTTTAATCCCAGCACTCGGGAGGCAGAGCCAGGCGGATCTCTGTGAGTTCGAGGCCAGCCTGGTCTCCAAAGCGAGTTCCAGGAAAGGCGCAAAGCTACACAGAGAAACCCTGTCTCGCAAAAAACCAAAAAAAAAAAAAAAAAAAAAAAAAAAAAAGTCAAAAAATGTATTTGTCAAACGGAAATCAAAAATGCTTTGGGAGTTTTGTTCCCACGAGACGAGAGGCTGTGGATTCCTTCAGGGTTAATATGGATCAGGTGTGATCAGGGGAGACCTCCTGAAACTTGACAGGTGATATCTATCAGCAAAGGTTATAGCTGGTCTTCCCAGGACTTGGCCATTATCTCAAATTTTCTCTCTGGGACCCTAAAGCTGCTTCATCCACAGACAGCAGGAAGCAGTTTAGAGAATACTATGCCCACATTCCCAAGAGATGAGGTGGGTGGTCTTTGGTTATTTGGTGGGTTATGAATGCCTGTTATCATTTAGAGAAATATAGTATATTGATACAAATTTAAAGTTATTTTTGTTACACTGTATTTATGTTTCTACTCTTGTTTAAAGGATTTTTGTATATTGATACAAATTTAAGGTTGTTTTTATTACAACATATTGTTTATATGTTTCTACTCTTGTTTGGGGTATTGTGCCCATGCAGTTCATTAAAAATGTAAGGTAAAGTTCAAGTTTTTGAAAGATATTATTATAAACTATTTAGGATAATCAAGAAACATAAGTTAATAGTTAGTCATCTGTAACAGTCAAATTTGTAGATGTAGGCATGTTTTCTAGATCATATAGAGGTATATTTTAGATAGATAAATGGTTTTCAAACACTTCAAAAACCTACAGAATATGGCGTTTAAAATGTTTTGTTAACCTATGGTTTTTCATGACAATGAGACACATCTGCTCCTGGCAGCACCAGAAATGATGAGCATTGAAGAAACTCCTTATGAGTTTGTTTTCATTGTGGCAAGCTTAGCCACTAGGCAAAGGAACTGCTCTTGCCTTTGACTGCTGACAATGTGCTGTGCAGACTGGACATGAAGGAAAAAGACTGTTGAACTCTGCCAAAACAAGGCAGGACAGTCCTTCAAAATTCCTACTTCACAGAAGAGTCTGCCACATATTCTGCAGGACACAGGAAAGCAACTGATGAAGTTTGCCAATACAAGGCAGGACAGTCCTTCAAAATTCCTGCTTCATTGAAAAGCCTTCCAGATACTCTAGGCCTGTAGGCTGAAGATGGATGCCCCAATGTTGCAGAGGAACTGTGGGTGACTGTCCAGGTGGCAAGATGTCTCTGTTGTGAGGTAATATTACATCCTTCTGGGTCTTTGATGGAGTTAAAGACTAAATAATTAATTTTGCATATGGACTAAATATTATAAATTCTTATTTGATAACTGTTTTGTTGTATATAGTTCTACTATGTTAAAGTTAAAACCTTTCTTATTTGGACAAAAAGGAGGAGGTTCACAACCATCCATAACTCTAGTTCTAAAGGATCCATCATTCTGTGTTCCACAGGCTCTATGCACACACATAGTACACATACATATATGAAAGCAAAATATTTCTATACATAAAATAAATAAATATAAAAAATGTTTTTAGAGAAAAAGAAATGTTTCTGGGACTTCCCCTGGCTCTGAGCATGAAGGAATAACCATGCAGAAAAACAGCCTCATCCCATAGAGCAAGTATCTAAAGGTCTTAGACACAGATACCCAGGAGATGTCCTGTGGATGCATTCCCATCTTCTTGTAGCCATCTCTAAACTGTCAGAGCTGCAGCCCCAATGAAGGTGTCAGGCAACTTGAAAGTTCCTTCCAAAAGTTAGATGTGCTCAATCTCAAAGGCCCCATTACCCACTTCAGGTACACTGGGGGAAGAGTGGAAAAGCCTTTCCCTGGACAGCCCAGGGCAGCCATACTTACTAGCTTGAGTTCTCTACTCACCTTGCTGCTCTTGATGTGGCTGTCATAGTCTTGAAAGAGCTGGTGATAGGCTGCCTGCAACTGAGCCAGCTTCCGCCTGTGCAAAAGGAGCTGTCACTGGAGAACTGCTTTGTCCCAGTATAGTCACAGCTTGCCTGGTACAGCTTCACCCTCTTCCTTCTTATCCCATAAAAGACCTGAAATGTGGGCTTCCTGGATTATATGTGGGCTCCTGAAGCCATCAATTCTAAGGCAGGCTTTGCTGACTGCAAGGATACAAAGCAACTGATTTGGCTGCTACATAGTTCATGTTTTCCTTAAAGTCAACATCTTGGGATGTTTCTAACAAGGGCTAGGGTACAACTCAGGAGTAGAACCTTTGGCTAGTGTGCTTGAGGCCCAACATTCCATCTCTAGCACCAAAAAGAAAATAAATAGGTGAAATGTTTGTGATAAAATGGCACCTGACTGCACTCTGCACAAAACAAAGAGGCAGGGAAATTGTTCTAAATTAAACTCAAAAGGATGCTGAACCAGATGCCAATAGCATGTTTAGAGCCTGTGCAGGCATTGTGGGCCCAGATGAGTCTTTAGGGCCAGCTTGAAGGCACCATGACTCCTTGCTTTCCTTACACCAAGAGCATATTTCAACTGTGGTGAAAAGAACCCATGTAGAACACATAATAAACTATGAATGTGAATAGAAAATATTTCTGTTTACATATAATAGTTGACTGTGTCATTATCAAGGCAAAGGGAGAAAGTCAGCTTTCTTTAAACAGCCAGTCCCTACCAGGACTTCCCAGAAGGCAGAAAGCACCATGGGTGATCTGGGATCTCTTGGTACCAACCCTCCCAGCCACTCACTTCTCCTCTGAAGCAGCCTGGCGCTCCATTCGCAGGGCAGCCTCCACACTCTGGTTCTGCATGCGCAGCTGGTCCACCTGCACGCTGTGCTGCTGCTGCAGCACCTCCCGCTCACTCTCCAGCTGTCTAACCTGCTCACTAACTGCTCGCATCCTGACATGCAACAAAAAAGAACACACTGAGGGAGCTGGAGCAAGGCAGCCTGGGGAAGGGGTCAGGTCCTGAATAGTCTGTGTCTGAGAGCTGATTCTGGTGGCAAAGTAAAGGTATCATGGCCAAAAGATGGAAAATAAGAAGCATCTCCTGGAACTGGCCCTGAGGTCATTCATAAGAGTGGGAGAGCTGTGCCTGCCCCTCACCAGCTGCAACACTTGGGAGAGCAGACTCTGCATCTTACCTGGGTAACACAATAGAGCCAATCTTGTTGGCAAATGTGTGAGTGAGCCAACCCAACATTGTAAGCGTGGGAGAGCTGTCCCCACTACTCACCTGTCATGGGGTAGTGTGGGTGGGGGAGAGATGCAACTCCCTTACCCCTCACCCCTTAGTGTCTGCAACAGACTAGCAAGCTGGCCCTCCCCCTTATCAGCTGCAGCACTCAGGAAACAGACCCTGCCCCTTGCCTAGGCAGCACAGCAAAGCTCCCTGGTAGTCGGAGGTTAGGGTAACCCAGCCCTGATGTGACAAGCAAAGGGGATCTGCCCCCATTATTCATCTGGCATGTGGTAGCCCTACCTCCTGCCTGTCAACACCTGTGACATGTGGAGGAGCTGGCCCTGGGATCATAAGAGCAGGAGGGCTGTCCCTACCCCTCACCAGCTGCAGTACTCAGGAGAGTGGCCTCTGTACCTCACCTGGGCAACACAACAGAGCTGGCCCTAATGGTGCCAATGTGGGAGAGCTGCCCCTGAGGGTGTGAAAGCAGGAGAACTGGCCCTACCCTTCACTCATTGCTGCAAGAGGTGAATTAGCTGGGGCAGTGCTGGAGAGCTCACCCTGGTGGTGAGGACAGGGGAGAACTGGCTGGTGGACCAACCCTACAGCTGTCCAGGCCCAGATCCAGGGTTGTAACTAGGCCCGCCCCAATACCCATCCCATCTATGATCTGATGGAGCATGTGAAGGGACCTGCCACACAGACCCATAGCTGCAGAATCTCCATGACATAGGGCAACAACAGGAAGAGTCCTAGTGAGGGCCCAGCATTGATAGTGTAGGAGAAATCAGAGGCCTCGAACCAGACCAGTTGGCAAGAAGTAGACTAGGAAAAGGATTAGGTACCTGCATCCTAAGCTGCTGCTGGACCAGATAGGAGGAGTCCCTGAGGGAAGGTGCTAAAGCAGTCTGGGTAAAGGGATATCAAGAGACTATTCTAGAAGCTGCAGGGAAGACTACAATCTGAGCTCACTAGCACTGACCTCAGGGATAGGCAGGAACTACTGTGCTACTTACAACTCAGCTGGAGTCCCAGGCACCCTCTTTGGAGGCTCAGGTTCCATACCTGGGTTATAAAGCCTCATGGATAGGATATGGCATCGAAGTCTCAGAGAATTCATCTCGCCCTATACACTCTCAGTGTAAAAGCTTAAGTTATCTCACCTATATCACTCATGGCCCCCATATCTTCTGATCCTGGCCCACAGTACCCCACAGCTTCCCTTAAATCCCAGTACCCAGGCACTAGCTTCATCACCCTGGTACCTCCCTGTGTGCCCTTTACAAAAGCAATGATGGACATTTCCATGGGTCTCTGAGGGAGCCTCTAACTGTAGGTTACCCCAACTTTGCCAAGGCAGATCTAGACTACTGGGCCTGCTCCCCTTTGGCCTTTGCTCACACTGCCCCTCCTCATCCACCATCAGCAGTGGTCTCTGAGCCCAAGTCAAAACTCTCCTCCCTCTCACAGGACAGAAACCCCAACCCATAAATCCACAAACATAATGACTACCTACTGTACTGCAAGGGCCAAGGCTACCCTTCACCAACTATCTGGAGGACAGCAACAAGGCAGTAAGACAGGCACAAAAGTACCCATGCCTGTGACCCAATGGTCCCACATGTCAACCCAATCCCCTTGGCAAGGCTTAAGGCCACTAGTTGGCAAAGGCAATCAAACACTCACTTTTCTTTCAGGAGTCAGAAATGTTGGTACATGCCTGGCAGTGGATGCCAACGTGACCAACTCCCAACAGAAACATGGTATTCAGAGTCTCTAGAGAGAAACAGTTCATGACGGCTCTGTGCTTTTAGGGGTGGCTATGGAATGTATCCAGTCTTCTTCACCTAGGACTTTCTGCCTTCATGGAGACCCACTGCATGCCTTTCCCATGATGAACTTCAGTCTGGATAGTGAGATCTTGAGTGTGGTCTTAGGAGGCCCTGCAATACTTCCTAAAGAATAAACTGAACCCTAGTGTAATGGTTTGAATGAAAATGGCCCCCATAGGCTCATATGGAGTGGCATTATTTGAAAAGATTAGGACATGTGGCCTTGTTGGAGTAGGCGTGGCCTTGTTGGAGGAAGTATGTCACTAGGGGTGAGCTTTGAGGTTTCAGAAGCCCAAGCCATACCCAGTGGCTCGCTATCTCTTCCTGCTGCCTGCTGATTCAGATATAGAACTCTCAGCTCCTTCTCCAGTACCATGTCTGCCTGCATGCTGCCATGCCTCATGCCATGATGATAATGGACTAAACCTCTGACTGTAAGCTAACCCCAATTAAATGTTTTCCTTATAAGAGTTGCCATGGTCATGGTGTCTCTTCACAGCAAGAGAAACCCTAAGACACCCAGTAAAGGGCAAAAGTGTAACTAGATTCCTGGATATCTGGCCAGGGCTCTCCCAAGGCATCCGTGAGGGTCCAGGGAATTTAAGACTGTCAGTCTTTCCTCTCAGAAGGGAGCGGAACTCCTAGGGGCTTCTACATTTGCCTCATTGAAAACCCTGGAAAGGGCCTCCTGAGCTAGTTTCCCCTCCCCACTCACCTTCCCTCTAAAGTTTGTCGTTCTTTGGTGGCAGCCTCCAAGCGACTCTGGCTCTCCCGGAGTTCCCCCAGCAATGATGTTACCTGGGCTTTCACAGAGGCCTTGTCCTCAGCCATCTGCTGCAAAAGAAAAGGTCATTTCCTATCAGTACTACTTTCTCCCATGATGCTCACTTTTGGCATTCACAATACCTGAGGCAGCCTGCAAGCAGCTGATGTACCAAGGGCTTCTCCTGCCCCTCAGCACTCATAAACCTAGGTACATTAGAGCCTTATTAGCCCAGTGGCTATCTGTCCTCCCCTAGTCACCAACCTCAGTCTCTTTGAAACGCTGTAAAAGAAGACCAGACTCAAATACAGCAACAAAAATAAACAACCTAGTCCATATAAACAACAGGTGAAAAGTTTCAAAAAATGAGAGAAGACACTGAATTTTTTTAAATAGTGAGAGCTGAACCAGCAAGAAGACTCATGGGGTAAAGGTACTTGCCACCAAGGCCGATGACCTGATTTTGACCTTCAAAACATACATGGTGGAAGGAGAGAATCAACTCCCACAAGCTGTCCTGAGTGCTGGGATTAAACCATACTCTAAGATCAGCTAAACTTTAAGGTTGACCAAACTTTAACATGCCTTCAAACAGTTTAAGATCACATTTCTGGAATGTCCCAGGCCCCTTCCTGGTTCCTACTTGCAAATGCTCAGAGCTGTTAAGGAACTGACTATTCTGGCCAACACTTGACATAGGCTGGAAGGCTAATAAGTACTACCAGCCATGACTCCTTCCTCTATCCCTATCAAAGTCCACATATTTTCTATGATTCTAACCCTGTCTCAAAAACCTGAATGCTACTCCTTTGAAATGGAATCATCAGAAAGGATAGGACTCAGACTCCTAGTGTTCTGGTATGGTAAAAATCTACATTTGATTTGTATAAGCTTGTAAATACACTAGCCTCATCACATTGACACTAATACCCTTCGTCATTCACTTGAGCTCCTTCCCCTGCCCAAATCCTTCATTCTGTTTCTATCTCTATTTCTGTCTTTATCTTACTTTTTGAAGTATTGGAAACTGAACTCCAGGCCTTACACATGCAAAGTATATACTCTTATTACTGAACCACAGTCTGGCCCCTATTCTCATTTTATAATTCCTAGTCATTGGGTAGAAAGATGGCTCAGTGGTTAAGAGTACTTGCTGCTCTTTAGAAGATCAGAGTTCAGTTCCTAGCACCACGACCGTCTAGTAGCTTACAGCCATCTGGAATTCCAGTTCAAGGGGATTTGACACTCTCTTCTGGCCTCCAAAGGCACCTGCACACATTACATACACAGACACAGACACAAACATCCAAACATATAAATAAAAATAAATCTTAAAAAAAGGATAAAATACCCAGTCACCTCTGCTGATCACCAGAGCTCAGCTAGCTCTTTCACTCTCATTGTCATCAGTTACTGAACAAAATCTGTTTCCATGGCTTTAACAACTGTTCACCTTTATGTTTCATGTTGGTACCCTTATAAAAAGAGAGGAGGGTTGTGAGGCAGCTCAGCAGGTCTCAGCAGGTAAAGATGCCTGCCATGAAGCCTGACAACCTGAGTTCAATACCTGGAACTTACATGGTAGAAAGAGAGAAGTGGTTCCTGCAAGTTGTCCTCTGACCTACATGTGCACACCATGGCATATACATGCCCACATGTATGAGTGCATGCACAGACACAGACACCATACAAAATAAAATGTAATTAAAAAATTTTAAGAAAAGACAGAGAGAAAAGGCCATGTGACAAGAGAGCTGGGGAGCACCAAGGATTGCCAAGACTGATAATATACTTGGAGAAGTACCTGGAATAGACCTTGTGAGGAACCCACCTGCCCATACCTCCATCTTATAGACTTCTGACTTCCAAAACTAGGGACAATCTCTGTTGTCTAAGCCCCCAGTATGTGGTACCTTGTTGCCATCTCCCCAGATAGGAACCAAATGCTTTCCCTAGGTACTCCCAGCAGCACTGTGAACTTAGCCCTACACTGTAAAACCCGACTGTGGCAGGTCCTCCCTATCCTTTCTCTCCAGGTCAGCCCTCCCAGATGGTACAATCCCTGCTCAACTACTGTCACTGGGGTCCTGAAACCCACCAGTCCAAAAAGGCCCTGAAATACCCTATTACCCCATACTAAGCAAACCATCCTTTGGGGACAGTGCAATACAGGGGCAACTTACAAGGCCTGGGACCACATATTTTCTCCAAATGCTCCTGGGGATCATCTCTGAGCCCCCTGGGAAATCCTGCCTGATAAGAGTACCTTGGTTTATCAGGGGTTTAGGGTCCTACCAGACTGTCTGGGCTAATGACAGGGTATAAGTGAGGGCCTTGGAGCACATGGTATGGTGCCAGCTGGACCTCAGGGTGGCTAGGGCCTAAGCAAGCTGGGTCAGGTACCCAAGCACTCCAAGCCTTCATAAGTGAGCCCAGTAAAAACCCTGGATCCCAAGACATAGGTATGCTTCCTGGGTGACATTGCTCCATGCACACTGTCCCCATGGCTCACAGCAAAAGCACTGTTCCCTGAGAAGCTCACATGTGGCCACTCCTGGCTCCTGCCCGACATGCCTTGTACCTTGGACCCTTTCACTGTAATAAACTAACAGTGAGTGTGATGGCTTCTCTTGGTTTTGAAAGTACTCCTAGCAATCAAGCCAGAAGAGGTCCTGGGGGAGCCCCAACAACATGCTTCCTATGGGAACATGAATGTCATTATGGTCTTCAAACACAGATAGGACAGAAGGGCTGCCCACCCACCAGCTACCTGTTGGCATTTCTTCAAGTGCTCCAAATCCTTTAAGGCCTGTTCCCTCTGCCTCTGCAGGTCAAGCTTGTCCAAGCTCAGTCTCTCCACCAGCTTCCTGGCTTCCTGGAATTTGCACATGAGGAACTCCTTCTCTTCTCGCTGGCTGACCTGGAAATGGAGCAGCTCCTCACAGCGTTCCCTCAGCATCTGATTGTTCTGCCGGATGGCATCTGGGGACAGGGAAGACAGCAAAGGAGATGTGGGTCCTGACAGCCAGGCACCCCTGTAATACTAGGTAGCCTTTCTCAAAGAAGTCAAACCAATTCCCAGCCAATTCCACTGATGATATGCCCCCAAGTGTCTGCAATGCATTACTAAACACATCATCCTCACTTGAAGGGATACATCAAATGCAACTTTCTTTTTAAATGCTTCATTTATATTCTGGTCCATTGGAGGTATCCCTACCTGGAGCACTCAGTTCCACTCCTCCCAGGCCTGTATGAGTATCTTCAGGATCAGGGGACCCTAAACATGCCTGCAGACTTGGGGAGGCAGGAGACAGTCCCCAAGGCAAATTTCACTGTGTAGTTTCTGGCTACAGCCTAGGAGCCCAGAAGGTGCAGACAGGACAAGCTAATAATATCTCTGAGTTTCGTGTTCAGCTGTATATTCAAAAACTGTTAACACCCACCTTACAAAATGAGGGTGACATGAGAAAGGAGACAGGGTGCCAGTACAGTAGATACACTCAGACCTCTTCTCACCAGACCTGACCATGCCCTTCTAAGAGCAGGCCACACTACATCTTAGGAAAAAACTCTCTCTCCCCCAAGGAAAACAATATTCCCTCTCACCTAAAAGCTTGCTGTGTCTTGAGAAAGATCAAGCCTACTCCCATTGATCCCTATAGCCCACTTTTCCCCCTACCCACCATGGCTTCTCAGCTTGTCCTCTTTCCCCTTCTCCTTTCCCTTCCCTGGTGCTGGCCCTGAACCACATCATTTCCTATATGTGAATCTTCACAGAGAACTCCACCTGAAACCAAGTTTGAAATAAATGCTGGCTGGTTCTTAGGCACATCATGACCTTAAACCCTACCAATAATGATGTGCAGGTGAAAATAAGTTTTGTCCTTAGTGTGCCAGGCCCCTCCTGATATTTTACTCCATGCCTCCCTCACACTGCAATCTTCACCTCGGAGCTCTTGGTTCTCTTCCAGGCAGCGCTGGAGTGTCTCAGGAGTACCCTGCTCTGAAGGCAAATGTAACATTGCTGGCTTCCCCAGAGAAGATTCTTCACCCTGCATGTCCTGATCCTCTGCTGGGCCACCACTGGGCTGCACCATCTCACTCAACTGATTCTTCCAGAGGTGCCTGCTCATCCAACAAGACAGTATCTAGAAGAAAAAGACAGTAAGAGGGCATGACACAGAGCAGAGTTCTGTCAACCAGCATAAGCGGTTCAATCTATACAAAAGCCCTAGACTTCCATTCACAGCAAAAGGCTAGACATTTTATCTGGTGGGACCAGATACAAAAGTGGAGTTTGGGTCTAAGACGTAGCAAATATTCCTGTTCCAAAGAGAGAGAATTATTTGTGGAAGGAAAGGGCAGTGTACTGGGAGTTCTATCTCCTCCATAAACCTTCAAGTAGAAGTAGAGGGTCCCAGCCCCTCACTTAATGTAGTAGAATCGTTGACATAGCCATGTCCTAATCCCTGCAACTCAAAGACCTCTTCTCACCAGAGCTGGCCACACCTTTTCAAGAGCAGGCCACACTACATCTTAGAAAAAAACCCTCTCTCCCAAGAAATCTATATCCCCTCCCACCTAAAAGCTTAGTGTCCCAAGAAAGATCAAACTTGTTCCTACTGATCCCTATAGCCCATTTTTCCCCCTACCCACCATGGCTTCATAGCTTGTCCTCTTTCCCTATGAATGTGACTTTACTTGGAAAAAAGGATCTTTACAGATGTGGTTAAATCAAGACAGGCATGGTGGTGCATGTCTTTAATCCCAGCACTTAGGAGGCAGAGTCAGGCAAATCTGAGTTCAAGGCCAGCCTGGTCTACATAGTAAGAACCTGTCTCACAAAAATTAAGGCTTTCAAACTGAGATCATCATAAATTACATGGGTGGGCCATGACTCCAATAACAAGTATCCTTCTGAAAGACAGATGAGACAGGACTGGGAATGTAGTTCAGTGGTAGAACTACATAGTCACTTACCTAGCATGCACAAGGCCCTGGGTTCAATTCCCAGCTCCTCACATATACACAAAAGAGACAGGAGAAAGAGGGAAACCAGGTGGAAATACAGGGAGACAGCCATGGGAAGACAGAAGCTGAGACTAGACTGATATAACCACAAGCTAAGGAACAACTGAGCCACTAGCAGCTGAAGGACACAGGAAGGATACTCTTGTACAATTTGCAGATTGAGTGTGGCCTTGTTGACTCTCTAATTTTATTCTCCTGGCCTCTAGAACTGTGAGATATCAAATTTCTGTTGTTTTAAGCCACCAAGCCTGTGGTCATTTCTTATAGGAATCACAGGAAACTCAAATACTTGGTAAGAGAAACTTCAGGAGACCACACTGTACCTGAGGAGTGTTCCTTGGGGATAGAGACCTCTGGTGTCTTCTGTATGCTAAGAAATTTGAAAGTGGGACTTGGGGTGTCAGTTTGAGACAAATGACCCCTGGTCTGCTTATGTTGGCTTATAAATCAGATAAAGAACATGCAAGGGCAGAGCTAACCTGGAGATTTTCTAAATCCTGCCTAAGATTGACTACCAGGAAGAGGACAATCTCAATGCAAGCTTCCAGAAGTGGGCCTTCAGTAAGGGAGGATGCCTGTAACACTGAAGAATCTTGACGATTTACACTGAAAGTGTTGATACCATAGATCCATCTGCCTGAGCTCACCCAGCTGACCCTTCCCTCTTCTTCACCTACTTTCTTCCTTTCAGCTTCCAGGAAAGCCTCTTCTGGTGTCTCTCATTCCCTCAAAGGATGATCCTGCTGAGGCCCTTTCACTAAGTTCTCATTCCTTCATGTTGAGATGCCTGGGGACCTTTTCCCTACCTACATTCACTCCTGCAGTAATTCTATTCAGTCTCATGGCTTTAACCCAAATCTTAATGTTGATAATATTCCAAATAGTTTTCACTCCTGAATTCCAGACTCACATATCAAACTACTTGGATGTTTAGAAGTCTACTCAAGGGGCTGGAGAGAGCCAGCCCCTTGAGTAGACTTCTGTTAGGAGCACTCAATGCTTTTCCAGAGGAACCAAGTTCAGTTCCTAGCACCCATGTTGGGCAGCTCATAACCATCTATAACTCCAGCTCCAGGGGAATCCAATGTACTCTTCTGGTCTCCTAGGCGCGCGCACACACACACACACACACACACACACACACACACACGCACACGCACACGCGCGCGTGTGCACACACACACACACACACACACACGTAAATAAAAATTAAAAATAAATATTTTTAAAATTAAAATGAAAGAGATCTTCTCAAAATTAATTTCTCAGGGCTAGAGGTATAGCTCAGCAGTAGCGCACTTGCCAAACATTCACCAGATCCCGGATCCCCAGTATTACCCAAGAAATCCACTTCTACCTACAATTTCCCTTATTATCAGCTGAAAACAAATCCATCCCCCAATTATCAGGACAAAAATTTTGAGCATTTCTGGGTTTTGTTTGCTTGTTTGTTTGTTCGATTAGTATCTCTGTTCCTTTCCCTTCCCCTCCCTCATCATACCTAATTCATGAAGAAACTCTGTAACATGAAGTATTTTAAGTGTGATCATGGTATTGTAGTTATGGTTATTTAGAGTCCTTTCTGAAAAAGATGCATAATGAAATACTCACATGTCTGAAGTTCACTGCATAATAAAAGGGAGATGCCTAAGGACATACCCAAGAGAAATGAAAACACATGTCCAGAGCTGGGCAGTGGTGGCGTATGACTTTGATCCCAGTACTTGGGAGGCAGAGGCAGGCAGATCTCTGTGAGTTCAAGGCCAGCCTGGGCTACAGAGCAAGATCCAGGATAGGCTCCAAAGCTATACAGAGAACCCCTGTCTCGAAAAAACAAAAAAAAAGAAAAAAAGAAAAGACATGTCCATATATAAATGATCACAGCAGCAGCATTACTCAAAGCAGCCAGAGTAGAAACAATCCAAATGTCCATCAACTGATGAATAAGCAAAATCTAGTTCAGCCACATGCTAAAACAAGAACGCATGCTCCAAATAATTGCTAAGAGAAAGAAATGTCACCAAAAGCTATATATTGTATGTTACTTCCACTCAGAAGAAGTATCCAAAACATGTAAATCCAGACAAAGTAGTTTAGTGGTTACTTAGAGAGATGAGGTGGACTGGGGTTTCTTAGTTAGGATTTCTTTTGGGGGTGGTGATGATGTTCTGTGATTAGTGATGTTTGCACACTCCCATGAACCCACTAAAAACCACTGAATTATACACCTTAAATATGTGAATTGTAGCCAGGTGTGGTGGTATACTTCTGTAATCTCAACACTTAGGAAGTAAAAGCAGGAGGATTAGGAACTCAAAAGGAAGGGATCTTCATGAGACTCTGTCTCCAAAAATTTTGAATTATGGGCAAATGAGACATCTCAGTGGATAAAGGCTCTTGCTATGCAAGCCTGGAGACCTGAGAACACATGTAAAGGTGAAAGAGAGAGAGCTGGCTCAACAATGTTGTCCTCTGACCTCTACACATTCTGGCATGGCATCTGTGCTCCCCACACACATCATGAACACAGGAACACACACACACACAAACAAACACGAACACACATACAATATAATAGTAAATAAATATTTTTTAATTTTTAAATGTGAATGGTGTGACATGCAAATTATGTCTCAAGAAAGCTGTTATTGAAAATCATAAAGGGTGGGGCAAGAAAGATGATGACTCGTTAAGAGCACTTGCTGTTGTTGCAGAAGACAGTTCCCAGCACCCACATGGTGGCTCACAAACATCTGTAACTCGAATCCATGGGGACCTGACACCTTCTTCTGACCTCCTTTGGCACCAGGCAAGCATGTAGTACATATACATACTCACAGCCAAAACACCCATACACATAAAATAACATATTTTCTAAAGAAGAAAAAAATCATGGTAGAGGATTGTAAGGGGTGTGAATTAAAGTTAGCTATGAGTTGATAGAGACAGCTAAGAAATGTGTACATGGAACTTACTATTTTATTATTTCTATTTTTGAACATTTTTAAAGTTTTCAATAATAAAAGGCTGATAGCACTATCATCTTTCACATGGATTACTGCAATAATCTCTTTACAGATCACCATGCTTTGCTTCTTCCCTTGCCCTTTACAATCGACCCCACTGGGGCCAGTTACCTCAAAGATAACTCAGACTACTTCTCCCTTCTACCGTGAACCCTATCAGAGTTCCGATTTCTCCCAGTGCAAAAAAAAAAAAAAAGTCTGTGCAACAGCCTACAAGGTCCTATACCACCTAATTCCCCTTCCTTCCTTCCTCTCCACCAACTATTCCTCCCTGACTCTCTGCTCCTACTACTGTAGGTCTTTCCTTTTTCCTAAGAAATGCCAAGACAATACATTCATTCTCAGATCAGATAAATAGTATGAGAACACACAAATAGATTACTAATCATTTGCAGAGTGAGCTGAGGTGCATAAGGTAAGATATTTAGCTGTCAAGGTACACTTGAAAACTTTTTAAAGACTTCAAATGCACTCAAGTTTGATAAACAGCTTGGCCTATTACTCTGGCACTATAAAAGGCTGAGGCAGGAGAATCTTGAGTTCGAGGTCTATCTGGCCTACATCGCGAGATGATGTTTCAGAAAACAAAGTTTGATCAACAGAAAAACGTCTCCGATCTAGAAGAGTTCTAGCACTAGGGGCCAAGCCCTTAGGCTACAGCTGCAGCAGAGGGAAGGAGAGTATCAGTCCGACTAGCCGCCCAAGTAAACTGGGTCGCGAATCAGCACTCCTTAACCCATGCTCGAAAAGCATGCGAAAGCATGCAACAGAACAAACTGGGCCCGAGGGAAGCGGGGAGGAGGTCAGGAGCCTCGGAAGCTGCGGAACGGCCACCGATAGAGCCTTGTCTTTGAAGAAGAGGACCACACCTGTCAGCAGAGTCGGCCAGAAGTGAAGAGGGCGGAAGCAGTGGGATCCGACCTCTCAGACTGAATCGGAGATCCCAGAAAGTCCTAGTTAGACGGTCAGCCTTTCCTTCTCGGCTGTGGAAACCCCCGCTTCCGGCTTCCGGTGTCGTAAGTGTGGGATCCGGAAGTAAAACACAGACTTGAAGCCGTGGAGATTAACTGAAGATGCGTAGCCACAATAGTGGTGCATCCTGCTCCGGAGAGAAGCTTCAGACCGCCAGCCTGCGTTGGCCATCCGAACAGCGAAACGCTCCTCACTGATAAACATTACTATACACACACACACACACACACACACACACACACACACACACACACACACACACACTTTTTTTGAGACAGGGTCTTTCTTCTAGCTGTTCAGGCTAGCCTCTGAACTCACAGAGATCTACCTGCCTCTGCTTCCCGAGTGCCTGGGATTAAAGGCGTGCGCTACCACGCCTACACCCGCCCCCACCCCATTTACAAGGCGCCGCGTCCGCACTGAAACACCCTAGTTTCAGTCTGGTCCTGCCACCGGGCCCTCTGCCGCCAGGTCCCTACCACGGAAAAAGCCTAGAAGCTGCGAAAGGATCCCAAACCCACCACAAGGGGAGGCGTGGCTACACTGCTAGCGGAAGTGGGGTCATCCGGGAGGGCGCAGGGACGCGAGGGTCCATCGGAAACCAGACCATAGGGTATGGCTGGGGTGGCGATGGGGACACAGGAGAACTGTGTGGAGCTGCACCTATGCCAACAAGGTATCGCGATCGTGGAGCAGGGGAAGCAGGGACGGCCAACAGGGTGGAGCTAGCAAGAGATGCGTACGCACCTACTTCGGCTCCTCTCCCCTCCCTCACCGATGGAGTAGTCCAAAGCTCCTCCCCTTCTGCCTCTCCTGAGGCGGGTCAGCTCAGTCAAAGCACCCGCCCTCCTGCGTTAAATGGGCCAGCTAAGCGCAGCCCCCGGAAACGAGCTGTGCACTCCAGAACTGTGAACCTGTTTGGCAGCAGCAACTAAACGCAGGTAAAGGGGTGGTCTGATGGCACACCGGTGGAGGGATGTGCTTCCTGCTTGTGCGCCTCATGTCCTTTTGATGTGCGTATTTGTCATGCTTGGATATGGAAGAAAATCTACGAGGTCTTAACCCATCCCTTTGTACTCCGCACTTCCCCTCATTGGGCCCATGAGGACTAGACTTTTAGAAGAGAAGGGACCAGCCGGGCGGTGGTGGCGCACGCCTTTAATCCCAGCACTCGGGAGGCAGAGCCAGGCGGATCTCTGTGAGTTCGAGGCCAGCCTGGACTACCAAGTGAGTTCCAGGAAAGGCGCAAAGCTACACAGAGAAACCCTGTCTCGAAAAACCAAAAAAAAAAAAAAAAAAAAAAAAAAAAAAAAAAAAAAGAAGAGAAGGGACCTTCCGGGATCACCTAGCTTGGCCAGGAGAGAGCTGGAGCTGAACTCCATCATCTGCACAATCAAACATGTTCAGTTCATTGTGGAGTTTCTGGCAGAGACTAAAGTGTGATGGCCCCAGACACAGGGCGATGCCCTGACCGAATTTTAATGAATTCCATTAATGCTTATAGTGATTTCGTAATGTATAGCCCCCAGAGAAGACAACATAGTGTGGGAAACCAGCTCCCACTTTTTTTTATGACAGGGAACTATTGAGGAGAGAGGGATAAGAGATTGAGGTAGAAATATAGAGGTAGAAGGATAGAGGGGAGAGAAACAGAAACACAGGATAGCCTCAGGAGGGCCTGGATCATTATCCACTAGCCCCATCTGTCTCTTCTAAAGGGTTATTTATAAGAATGCCAAGGGATGGGGCAAAGACCGCCCCCTAGCTCAGCCAAGTGTAGACCCTTCCAATCACCTGGTAACCAAGCACATGGTCAAGCAATCCTCTAATGCAGCCCTGCTGGATAAAGCAATCTCAGCTCTCACTAGGAAACCTCTGTGGGCCTCCACAATATAAGAAGGTATGGCTGGAGTCCAGAAGCAGTAGTTTCTGACTCTGCATGCGCAGGCTCACAGCATTCCCAGCCAGTAGTTTCAGTAACCTAGTGAGAACCCAAAAGACCCTTGAATAAGGTTAGGTTGTCAATGCTCTTCTGTTCTCCTGCCTTATCAATGAGCCTTTCTTTCACCAGAAAACATCATGGCAGAGCAGGTAGCCCTGAGCCGAACCCAGGTGTGTGGGATCCTAAGGGAAGAGTTGTACCAAGGTGATGCCTTCCACCAAGCTGATACACACATATTTATCATCATGGGTGCATCGGTGAGTCTCCCCTCAGGCCCTGAGTCTAAAAAAATCAAATGTAGCAAGGCACTTCTCTTTGTACCTCAACTTTCCTAACTGACTGCTAAGGAACCACACAGGTTCTACTAGTTTGAACTCTATGGCATATGTTTTCACCTGTGTATCCTGATCATCACAGCAGTACCTGCTATACATCATGTACTTGTGTTGAATTTCTCACTTGCAAGGCGTTTCGGAAATCTATGCTCAGCCATTGAATGTGGACCAGACTTGGAACATCCACGTTCTAAAGCACCATCTAGCTGGACTTCTTCCTCCTGGATGGAAAAAACTGAGGTGCAATCAGGGAATGCTATTCAATCTATATTTTTTTTCAAAATAATTTGACAAATGTTACAGTCAATTTCAGTGAAAGGATCTGAGGTCCTGCCTCTGCCTCTTTTCTCTCTACTGCACGAAGTTCCCTGGAGGCAAATACCTCCTCTTTGCCACATCTTCCAAAGCCTACTGCAGATTTCTGTTAATTCCACCTGGTTTCCTGTTGTCCAACTGGAACAACTATCATTGTACTCTGTTAGGAAAAACTGAAGAACAGAAGCACAGTCAGAGGGGTGGTGTACTGATGGTACACAGTGAGACTGGGGCAGGTGGGGGCACCATCTCCTATGTGCTATGTGGCAGTAGGGCATTTTCAGTGACCAGGGTTTGATGGCAAAGGTAAACTCAATTGCTTGCTTTTAACCCTGGAATCAGCTCACTCTTGTGTGACCATCTTCAGTATTAACTTATTGTGTAATCTTGAGCAAGAACTTCATCAGAGCTAGTGTGTTCTTGAGAGGGTAGCCACTGGCTCAGCACCTTCCACACTCTGGGCCCCTCAGTGATGGAGGAACTCTGTGGTTCCTTGTTCATACATAGCATTAACGCCCACTAAGGGCTAGGGCTGTAGCTCAGTAGTAAAGTACTAACCTCTTATGCATGAGGCCCTAAGTTCAATTCTCAGTACTACCAAAAAAAAAAAAGAGGAAATCAGAACATATCACCCCCTTTGCCAAACCTGTTCTTTGTCAGCCTTGTATTTCTGAGCAAAACTAGGAGTGGGAGAACTTAGAAAAGGAATGCAGAAGCAGAGGAGAAGGGCTCTACCACTGAAAGGGCAAGGGAGAGACACCCGAAGGCTCTGTCCCCTGACTCCCTGTAACTCTAAGACCCAAGAAAAGTACCCAGTCAGAACACACAGTTCAGCAGTCCTACCCTCAGCCCTGGCTCCAGCCTAGTCCCCTTAAAGGAGCCATGCATGCATGTATCAAACACAAACCTTGGCATATAGGACTCGGACTATTAGGCCCTTCAATCTAAAGGGCCATCTGAAAGAGAAAGTAACTGAGAATGATTCCCCCCTGCCCCACCCATGCTTTCATAAGCTTGCACCAACAATAACCCAAACAGCAAAGATAGTTTACAACTGCAGGACCCTCCCTCATTGACAGTTTGTTGTGTGACCTGGAACAAATGTCTACATTTCTCTGAACCTTAGTAGTTTTCACCTAACAAACAAGGGCCAGACAGCCTCTGGCTTTATCCTAGGCTGATTATGTGAGTTCTAGCCTGAAGTTGAGCAACTTCATTTCACTGCAATCAGTGTGGTTCCCCTTTACTCTCCTCTGCTCTGGGAGTGGTAACCAAGGCTTCCAGAGTAGAGATGGGAAGTGTTAGCTCCAACAGAAGGGAATGGGGGAAGAAAGGGAGATTTGTTGAAGAGCATTGTTATTTCTCTCTGTTCCTCTCAGGGGGCCTGAGACAGACAGACCCTGTGCTGGGACAGCCCAGCATGAAGTAGGCAAGGTGCTAGCTGATGTAGGAGACCTGCAAATTCTCCATTCATTCAATGTAGCAATCAAGTGTCTCCTCCAATTCACAACAGCCTCAGTCTCTATCCTTGTGGGAACAGTGTATTTTAGGAGCAAGCAAACAAACAGGATTTTAGGGAGCTGTATGTGACAGAAGTCACAAATGGGCTCTTGTGTACTAAGCCCCCTGCAACACACAGGTCTCAAGTGGACCTAGAAAACAAGGCAAGTTGAGGATAAGAGGGCAATTGTCCTCTAAGTTGGAAACAAGCTCAGTGTGATCCTGAAACTAAAAGGAATCCAGTGGCTGGCAGGCCCCAAGCCTAGGAAACTGGAACACACTAGGGCAAGCTGAGCCCAAGTAGCCGTCCTCTGCCCCTTCATCCTCCCCAGGTCTTTACCCAGTCTTTACCCATGTACCCAGCTTCCTACCTAGGATGTTCTTGTGCTGCCTCACTGTAGCTACTCCTCTTCTCAGGAGTCCCACTCAAAGAAGGAAACAGAAATCCTTACTGCCCCACTCCAGAAAACCCCGTACTTACAGACCAGTGTGGGGAAAGAACTGTGGACCTAAAAGGGCATCTCCCCAGCCAATAGGACCTTGGTGAGGCTGGAAAGTGACTCTTTCCCCTTATGCAGAAGAAAAGGAGTAGGCCTCAGAGTCCACATGGGCTGATGGGCTCACGCTATACATCAGTTTCCCCACCTAGACTATGTGACAGCCATAGACTCTGTGGGTACTCAGGGTCCATCCCACTGACAGGCCTGTGTAAGGAGTGACCTGGCAGTCCAAGCCCATCCCTCTTCTTGAGTCATTTCAGAATTGACTTCTCCCTTGGACTGGTAAGAG